TTAGATAAAAAAAATCTAGAATTCATACAATAAAACAGTGTACCTACCATGAGTTTACGTTAGGTGTGCTCGCTAGCGAAAACGTCAAAAATCTCTATGGAGATTTTGTTTCTTGAAAGTAGCCGCTAGGGGCGCTGCACAATATGTCATACAATTAATGTCATTTTTTTACGCAGTCGCTAGCGAGCACACGTAACGTAAACTCATGGCAAGCACACTGGTGACATAAAATGCTATAAGTAAACATAGGTCTTGTCCGTACATTTACATGAAAGAGAGTATTTGAAACTTACCTGTGACCTAGTTACAAACTTTAAGCCTAGCTACGTGTGTGTGACGCAATAAATAAAACCTTGTTTTGTATAAAGTTACTTACCTAAAGAAAGAACTCCAAAACATCGGGGGCACATGAAAAAGTTATCAGATCTTATGTAGAGCTAAGCTTGCCCTACTTTCACAAACGCTATACCTTAGTAAAAAAAGTACACATGTACCTACTCATAAAACTCATTTATATTTGCAAATAGGCTTTTAAAAAGCACTTTTACACGTCCCAGAATTAGCCCTACCACTGCTTCGGGACAATAAATGGGCCAGTGCTGAGAAGAAGCAGTGCAAAAAACTCTGTCACTATTGTCAGCCTCCTTTTCAAGCTTGTGGCTTAGCCGTTTCATTATTACAAGAACTAGGTAGGTACTTTACCTTACACCCAAAAATGGCAAATGGCCATGCCACATATTTTGACTAATGTGACGTTAAGTTAAACCGGCAGACAGTGGTGACTGAGTTTGTTGCGGCGCTTCTTCTCAGCACTTGCCAAATGTTTGTCTCGAAGCGCTGGTAGGGCAAAAAAATAATGAGACATGTATAGGCTCCTTAAGAGCATTTGACGATTTGTAAGTACTAATTTAATTAGTCTAAACAAATAAAGATAATTTTGATTTTGATTTTAGGTCGAGTAGAGTTAGAAGTTTGACTCTACATGAGATCGATAACTTTTTGGTAGTACGAAAATGGTCTGGCCTTGGCAACATTTTAAATGTTATTTTTTTATGAGATTGTCTTTACCCGGCACCAATTTGGCCCTCACTGATTGGGTTTTTATTGGCGGTCAAGCCGAAGATCCTGGCTACACAAGAGTTGGGAACGAGAGGCGGGAATATTCCCGTTTTCTCCCTACTCGTGCCGTGACTGTGTAGGCTGTATTATGTCCAGTTGAATTCTTAACTCGATTACGAGAACGAGCGACCCCAGCCAGTAATGTAATGAAGTGATTCCAGTCCTTTGCCTGTCTACACTTGCCACACACAGACACACGTGTATCCTACTTAATTGATTAATTTAATAACTAGCGGCCGCCCGTGACTTCGTACGCGTGGATCCCGTTTTACCCCCTCAGGGGAGGAGTTTCGTAAAATCCTTTCTTACCTGTTGCGGATTACCTGTTGTTGTAGCGGATGCCTACGTCATAACATCTACCTGCATGCCATGTCTCAGCCCTATCCGTCCAGTTGGTTTGGGCTGTGCGTTGATAGATCACTATGTCAGTCAGTCAGTCAGTCGCCTTTGAGTTTATACAGGGTGTTAGGTAAATGGGTATATGAGCCGACACTAGCCCATGTTAACATGGTCATATAAATGGTATGGTGAAGTCAGAAAAGAAGAACGGTCATCTGTGACCCAGACCCGACAGAAACGAGACATACCTCAGTTTTTTTGTCATGTCTTAATTAGTTAAATTATATATTTTTTATATTCGAAATCTATGTATAACACCAAATTATTGCCCTTTGTTTTTGTTCAGGCGTCATACAAAAACTAATACAAAATGCCTATTTATCACCAAAATTGGTAAATGTATGTACCTGAATAGCTGCTATGGAATGTATCTAGGTGACTTGGAGATACAGCCGGATTATACAGGGTGGAAACGAGAAGTTACAAAATCCAAAAATTCAATGTTACCAGCTTCCATAATCTGTAACCTATTATTGGTGCCGTTTGAAAGAGCTCATGAAGCACTTTCAGAATCAGTAACTAGTTTTTCGATATCTTGTATAGTTTAGAAATAATCGAGTGAGATCACTTATCGTTCCATATGTATAACCACCCTGTATAATCCGGCTGCATCTCCAGGTCACCTAGATACATTCCATAGCAGCTGTAATAGACATTTAGGTACATACATTTACCAATTTTGGTGATAAATAGGCATTTTGTATTAGTTTTTGTATGACGCCTGAACAAAAACAAAGGGTAATATTTTGGTGTTATACATAGATTTCGAATATAAAAAATATATAATTCAACTAATTAAGACATGACAAAAAAACTGAGGTATGTCTCGTTTCTGTCGGGTCTGGGTATTTTTTGTATGGGGCGTGACCGTTCTTCTTTATATCTTCATTTTAGTTATTTTAATTTTCATACAAATCGGATTTTATAAAATTTATATTTTGTATGAATATTTAAAAAAATAAAATAATGATATGAAATTTCTGACTTCACCATACCATTTTATATGCCCATGTTAGCATGGGCTAGTGCCGGCTCATATACCCATTTACCTAACACCCTGTATATTATAGATAATCCTACTAATATTATAACGATGTTTAGATGTTAACATGTTTGTTTCTCTTTCACGCAAAAACTACTGAACGGATTTTGATGAAATTTTACAGTATTATTAGTATACAAAATAACATGTAGCCTATTTTTCAGTCGGGCGAAGCCGCGGGAAAAGCTAGTAAAATTCAAAGGATGTCAGAAGTTCTATATTCAATTATTTCTAGAAACAACGTGAATATTGAAAATGTATGTTTTGAAATTGTACCCTTTCTCGGAACTGACATGTGAATAATCATAAATAAAATTTAGGTCTAGACATATTTAGGATTTACTTGGAAAAACGATTCAATTGCCTAAGGCCGCATAACCAATTTGATTTGGGTTCTATTTAGATATTTAATTAAAATTAATTAACATAGTGTTGAGTAATTTATAATCTGAATGTAAGCTAAAATTTAACGCTTGAATTATAAAATAAAAATTACAGAGATTGAGAAATTAATAGAATTTTTAATTGGTTTAAACCAAAAGCCTTTCAAAGTTGTTCTTTGTCCTTTTGTGTATTTTGTAAATGAGCAATTTTCGGAAACATAATTAGTATTTTTTAAAATCATTTGATTGATTCCCTGATAAAAATGATTCTGATAAAAATAGCATAAAATGCGGCCTTTCAATTTTTTTTCATTTGGCCGTTTTGTGGACTGCAATAAAAAAAGCTTCAATTTTAATAAAATTCCTCCAATGTAATTAAAAATTCTACCAACGTAATACAGGGTGGTCGGTAAATTTTCCTGCATTAAATAACAGACATCTGTATGTCTAGCGCTTAACGCAGTTAGTGAGGTATGGAAGCGGCACGGGAGGAGTGACATTGACATTATTATGACTTGAGCGTATGCTCAAATTTGTATAAATCTGAAGCATTAGGGATGTTTCCTGGGTAAAAAAGCAAGAGTTTTAATTAGTCCGTCAGATAGCTTATCAAAAACTACTCGACACGTATTTTTTACTTTTTAAAACTAATGAAAGTGTAAAAGCATGCCAAAGTTCTAAAGTAAAGGCCCGTGAACTCAATGAGTGCGTAAAAGTGCAGCACTTTGTGACGTCGCGCGGAACTTCAATGCATTATAACTTTGTAATTATTTGTTTGATTGACAATTTAAAATAATAATAATAATAAATACTCTATATTGCACACCACATAAAAAGAACAGAAAGAATAGGAACACATAAGGTACAATTAGGCGGTCTTATCGCTATGATATACATATATATATATGCCAAAATATACGTGTCCAATATTTTTTTATATTAAAATAGACGGACTAAAAAATTTTTTTTAGGAAACTAGCCTATTCTGAAGTCTCGCTGACGTTTGACTTCTCAAAAACACCCTCCCGCGTCGCTCTCATACCTCAGGCACTGGCTGATTTAAGCACTACAGCTATAGTTTTTCTATAGAAATGTTTAATTATATACCATTTACTAAGCTGTTTGTTTTAAACTGCGGTGCCTCGTGTACCACTAATCTGTTTGTGAGACGGTTAATCCCTGTACATTTTATAAACTGTTGTACAATTCCAATGAGAGATTTCGTAAGTATAAAACATGACGCTAAAAATAGTGAGATCCATTTCTAGTGAAATAAATATTTAATTTAGATCCAGGATCTATAATATGTAGATTAAGCATAATATTAAAAGTCTCTACATTTACACAACTTCTATTCCAACGAACGATCTGAAAAATATTTTACATTGCAGGTTACAATTTAACATTTATTTCTAAATGTAGAATTTAATTTATTTAGGAACATCTTTTATTTCATTCTTTAATTCAAAAATATTTCTATTAAATTCTCATAAGCATATTTTTTCATTTTTGGTTTCATAACTGTATCAAAATTATTTTTTGTAGAATGAGGAAAGCAATAACGGTATTTGAATTTAGCACGTCCACACTAAGCTAATTTCAGAGACCTACATTTCTAAAATGAAAAGTAGCCATCGCAATACAAAAAGAAATGCGAATGCTCGTAACATGAAAATAATTCTCAAGATTACATTATTTACAGTCCAGTTAACTGTTTATTGAAAAATTGGGATGACAAAGTAATTTATTTCTTTTTATTGTCTCGCAGGAGATGTGAAACGTAGAGGTTTCTCTTTGGGGATGAAATGTCTTTTTGTCTGAGCGAAAATCCTTTGCTGCGTTGTCTTAAGCTGTTTCATCTGGGATTTAAGTAGGCACGTACATGATTTATTGTATCATTCTATCATACATTATTCGTATTTTTATACGTAATTTTTATCTGGTCAAACAAAAGAGTCGATTTTGACGTCTGTAAACTCAAATGAGTAGTTTTTACTACCCTTTTTTAATCAAGTATAAACATTACACCCTGTATAAAAATGTGTTCTTTCTTACAGATATCGGCTGGCATTCAGAGAGACGCTGCTTTGCCGCACTTTGCGTCGCAGCGATTCCCGTAACTTGAATTTGGAACACACCAGGTATTAACTAATTCTATACTTAGGCGATTATCACACTGCGCCGCGCTCCGCCGCGGTCCGCGTGATTTCATATAAAAAATCCCGCCCGCAGACGCGTTGTCAGTGTGTTGTGCCGCGCGTGTTTTCTATACAAACTGAGGTACTTGCATACAATGATTAAATCTGTCGTCCCGCGTACCGCGGCGGAGCGCGGCGCAGTGTGATAATCGCCTTACTCTTACGAGAGTTCGTTAAAGGTCATAGCAGACTTATCAACTCGGAAAGGGATCAACACCGTATCGTCTTTCGCGAGCTGTCATCACCTTTCGCGCGCTGTCAACCGCAAGGCGAGGCGTTCGGTGCGGATAAGTGTGCGTTGCAGTATGGAGTTTCATACAAAGAATACAGACCACCTCGAGTTGATACGGATATGAACCTTACCGGGTTGATTAGTGTGCTACGTCCGTAATCCTGTAGGTACGAGGGCAAAAAGCCTTTCCCCAGATTGCAAAAAATAGGAGATCGTTCTTGATGGTGCTTTTTGCGTTCTTCCGTCCAGGAATGGGTTACTAAAATTATGATCATGATTATATTAAAATTTATACATCAGACTAAGTATACTTCTTGCAACTCACGAAAGCGAGTGAGCTTTACTTGTGTGTACGTGGACATGCACATAACGATAGTGTAATGTCTATCAAAACTTTTGAAAAACCAACAGTAGCGAGCCACCACACATGTAAAGCTCACTCTACTTCGTCATAGCCATAGCCTTCGTGAATTGCAACAACTATAAATAGGTACATTTTTGTGGCAATCTCGCTTGTACTTATTACCTATAACTGATGAAGAGCCCACTTAGTTTAGCTTGAGTGTCTGTACTTTTATTTTTACTATCAATATGGGAACACCCGAGAGTCAGTAAACATATTGCTTCATTGGAATATTTTGTTTACATTTCATAGCACTTCAAAAGGGTGTCGTAAAATTCATTTCATGAATAACATTAATGTTTCTCGCTTTAGCAAGACATCGCTAGTAAAGTAAACTTGCCGCAAGTGAAGGATTTATTAGTAAACTAGTCCACGCCCGCGGCTTGGTTCGTAAGTCCCTCGAGACTGTGATATGGTTAGAAATCAGCCTTAGTTGTGCTGAATTATGTAATTGAATTATCTGAACCTACAGAACTGAAATCATATTAGAAAGAATGAAATTACTCGTACCTTATCCGATTTCGCCGAAATGTTTAGCATTTCTGAATCATAAGAAATTACCTAAAAATATTTAGAAGACTAGACATATAAAATTCTAGACTGCAATCCTAAACTTAATTGCTAAGCAAGCAAAAATATCAAATGTATAAAAAAATTAAGTCATACAAACAAAAAATGTGCTTTGTATGATATAAGTTATAAGTAGAGATGAAACGGATAGTTGTTTGGCCGGATACCGGATACCGGATATCCGGCGAGCTGCTAGGCCGGATAGCCGGATATCCGGCGGCCGGATAGTTGTCCCATTGTCATGTTGCATGTCGTAACGAGTTTAGCGCTGCACAGGTGCTTCGAACGCGATCAGTAGGTCTAGTAGACTAGACAAGTCACACTTTTCGAAAATCGAATTTGTTCGAATAGAATGTCAGATTTTGCCACTCGACTATAGTCTTTTTCACATAAGATGGTCCGTATGATACTTCAAGGTTATCCATATTACGCATACTACATACCTATGCATAATATTTTTGAAAAAATATTTGTATTTTATTAGCAATATAATAATAAAAAAAAAACTACTTGTCTTGAAATATATCGTAAAAGCTGAGTCCATTTATTATATTTTAATTAAATACGATGTAAAAATATTTTTTATTTAATGTACGCAATGTGTGAAATGGGTGATGATAGATTTAGTGCTGGGGTATTTGTTGTATAACAAAATCGATTATTTCCGTGGTTCATTAATCGATTGCAGTGAATACTTAGTTATTAAAAACATTACAAAAATCAACTATATTTTTCGATTGTTGACTTTAATAAACGAATTGAAAATAAATTAACAGTTTTTAATTTAAAGAAATAGAACCAGTACTTTTTAGAAATCGTTTTTTTTAACAAGAAGTCCATGGAATTTGAATATTATCAATAAAAAATTGTTACAATAATATTTGTAATTAAAAAAAACATGTTTTTTGTTAAATAACACCTATACAAAATATTTCTCCAAAAATAGGTTTTACTAACTCTTTGAAAAAAATCGATAGATAAATCGCTATGGTTTAGTTATGTGACATCTCTAAAGGCCTTAATATGGCTTTTTTGTAACTTGTTGGACTTTAGATAAAAACCGTCATTATTATAAGCCATTTTATTGATATTTGACTCAAAGATTAATGTGTTTCATTTTATTATAGGAAATTTTCGTAGTTTTTTTAATATCCGGTATCCGGCCGGATAGTGAGCTACTATCCGGTATCCGGCCGGATAGTAAATTTAGGCCGGATATCCGGCCTACCGGATAGTTGCCGGATATCCGTTTCATCTCTAGTTATAAGTATTCTAAGTAGAGCTTACCGTAATGGCATAAGTACTACGTAGGCTAGAGTTGCTAGAGGGTATAGACGTGAGGTATACATATACACTAGGTTATGTACCTAATAGACATCTGCACTTACTGTCAGGTTGTGTTTGTACCCGCCTATCAAAACTAATATTATAAACGTAAAAAGCTTAAATAACATCAAATCAAAATGCGCGTATACAGTGTGGAAACGATAAGTGATCTAACTCGATTATTTCTAAATTAAGCGATATCTAAAAATGGTTACTGATCCTTAAAGTACTTCACGAGCCAAGATGGAAACATTCAATTTTTGGATAGATTTAGATTCCAGTTATTCTGTAACCTATACTTTATGATTGATATCTTTGGATACTAGAGCTCGTGAAGCACATTTAGGATCAGTAACTGGTTTTTTGATATCTTGTACCCCCGTTCCAGAATGGTATTCTGAAATTTCCTTTTTCACAGCTGCCGTGACGTCACGCCTCTGCCAAGCCTGAACAAGCCGCCTCACTACCGCAGGAGGGACCAGAGGATATCCTTCATCAGCAAGGTGGACTACATAAAGGACCCGTCGCCATTCTGTATTGCCAAAGACGGTGACGTCCCCGTGCTGAAGTATTATGATGACGTCAAAAAGGTGTACCTGAGTGACTGCGATGTCAGCAAAAGTGATGGTTAGGTGATGAAAACCGGGTTATATCATACTGAGGACCAGTTTCACCAAGCACTGTTAAGGTTCGGTCAAACCAACGCGATCACACGCGATCAGCCGGCGTGCAGCGATGGCGATCAGACTTAAATGCATTGATCGCCATCGCTGCACGCCGGCTGATCGCGTGTGATCGCGTTGGTTTGGCTAAACCTTTACGCCCGCATTCACAAACATTACTATGAGGTCTCTAAGTGCCCGTGGACGCACACGGACACACACTAAGCAATCACAGAGCTCTATTCAACGCTGTGCGTTCGATTTGCTGCTTCATTTAGGCAAGCATCGTTTGTGAATACGTGCGTTAAAATCCCTGATAGTTTTGAACTTAGGTGTCAGATTCATTGACTTTCACAGGTTGGTTTTATAAGTCTTGAATTTATTTATTTTTATTTATTAAAGACGCAAAACAGATTACAATTAAGATTTCACAAATTGTATAGCACGTAAATTGAGATATTGTGCTGAATAAGACACTGATAATAAAAAAAATAAAAAATAATACAAGCGTCTGTTTTACTTCTTGCTGATAAGTTCCTGATGGTTTTGAAGAACTTATTACATCAGATATAAATCGCGCAAAAAAGTTATGGTAATCGGTAACCTTCATTGAGGCGACGCGGCGACGGCGCTTATGGACGTGGACCAGCTGTGTAAGAGTAGGTATGCGCGCTGCGATAAGCGGTTATCACGCCATTTTATCGATTTTGCCCACATTTTCACGTCGATAAAGTACTTATATCACGCCGCGCATCCTAGCCCGGATGGACAGTCAGCGTCAAATAGTTCGTAACACAAGTAGCCAAACGCAACAATAAGATTTTGCTGACCACTTTTTTTGCTGTCAATTTTTTTGCTGTAAAATTTTGGCCTCTTTTTTTGGGTGTCACGAATTATTTGACGCTGACTGGACATTTATGTAATTGTTAGATAGCGATATGGTAATTATCTGAAACCTTATCAGGGTCTTACTGGCCCTATTTAAAAATGTCTACCGTCTAATATCAAGTGTAAAAATCGTCTTAAGGCATTAACGTATTTATTGTTAGAAAATGTGTAGGTAGTACTTGTATACGAAATTAGGAATCTTCTAGTATAAAAGTTTTTCAGAAACTTTAATCTATTTAGTTTAATTTTCTCCTTGGGCACAATGCCATAAAAGATCTTACTTTTACAATTTACTTGACTATTTAGTACCTCGTACTTTCTTAGAAATGTCAAGTGAGGTGTTAAGTACAAATGTAAATATCTTAACATTAATCATTAGTTTGAAACAATGAAAGCACGAACATAGCTTAATTCTAAGTGTTCAAAAGTACCTAAATAAGATAAATTAATGTAACTTAATTGTTATTTGTGTGATATAATTTGAAATGAATTATGTAGGTTTTTATGAAAGGTGTTACTTGATATAAATAACAAATCCCAACTAATATTATAAATGCGAAAGTAACTCTGTCTGTCTGTCTGTCTGTTACGCTTTCCCGCTTAAACCTCGCAACCGATTTTGATGAAATTTGGCATAGAGATAGTTTGAGTCCCGGGAAAGAACATAGGATAGTTTTTATCCCGGTTTTTGAAACAGGGACGCGCGCGATAAAGTTTTTCTGTGACAGACAAAATTCCACGCGGGCGAAGCCGCGGGCGGAAAGCTAGTTTCTCATAAATCTTAAATTAGCACTTAAAATTCTCAAAACCCGAGTGAGATCTTTGTAATATTGTAAATAATACAAAATAAGTAAGTAGTAGTTATTCCAAAAAAGTAGTTATGTTCTAGCAAATAATACTTGTAATAAATAATGAATGAAAGATAGTGTAACTTGAAAATTTTTGTGAAATTTCATTTTGTTTGATTATTTTTTACTAAGTACTTGGGTACTAAGTATAGGTATTTAATGGAGTTGCACAAACATTTATGTACCACTCTCTTCAAATGTAGATCTAAATAGTGTAGCTATACTACATTGATGTAAATAATATTAAAATTGATAAGTATATAATCTATGTCAAAACCTTACTGATGTTGGAAGAAAATTATCTTTGGTGTAAAATAAAATTAATTAGAATAATTTATTGTAATTAAATCTCGACGTGTATTTTGTACCTATTGATATTGCATAAATTAAAAACGTTATTACAATGTTTTAATCTTTTAATCTCATACTCTACCTTGTTTTATCTTTAATTAAGAAAAGAGCTTTAAATAAACTCCTACGTGATTTTGTTAGATTCTAGCTTTAACGTTGAACTTTTCCTCTAATCCATTTTACTTATCTTAATTTGATAAGACACAATCTGGAAGTTTTTTAGAAAAACTTATCAATCAGATATCCTTAAACTTGATTGATATCCTTTGAATTTGAACTTATTAGAAGCTTGTCGGAAACGAAAGACAAATCACTGCTCTTGACAAGATGGCGGCACAACAGTGCCGTCCTGAGACGTCGTAGAAACTGTTGCAAGACTTGCAAGTTGCTTCCTTAATCTAAATATTGCATATGTATAACTCAAAGGTGACTGACTGACATAGTGATCTATCAACGCACAGTCCAAAACACTGGACGGATCGGGCTGAAATTTAGCATGCCGGTAGATGTCATGACGTAGCATCCGCTAAGAAAGGATTTTACAAAACTCCACCCCTAAGGGGGTAAAACGGGATCCACGCGTATGAAGTCGCGGGCGTTCGCTTAGTTGATTAATAAACATGGTTATAAAAGTGTTCAGAAATTATAGAATTGAAGTTGATACGTTGTGTTGGTGTAGGTAGTTGGTGCACAAACCACCCAACTTTGACCGTACTAACTATAACGATAACCGGTGTTTTTGTATGGAGTTTGACAGATCTTTGACGTTTTATAAAGATAAAATATGATGGTGCAACCCAGCCTTAATGTATTACGCACACACAGCTATTCCTGGCGATTGCTCTGGGCCACCATCATGTAACAGCTATTCCTTTATTGCGAAAAGCGTAAGGACAAAATTTCTTCACCGATTAGTAAGTGTAATGGTTATTGCCACCACTCAATTTCACCTTGCTACCTAAGCTATAATCTTATGGCGACTCATACATAACGTCAAACCATACTCGCTACGGCTTACGAAGACTCATAATTATTAATTGACCTGCCACGGGGGATGCCCTGGCAACGAACGTCGTCGGCCTGTCAACCCTCGTCTTAATAACTCAATATAATGAATACTATTTATACATAAGTATATGGATCGTTTTATTCGATTTAAACCCAACGCTGTGAAGTAAACATGTGCAATGTAGTGAACGTAATTGTTTTGATCCAAAATCTACTGTGTAAATAGGAAGATTAAGTGTAGGATCTCCTACTAGGTGAACCGAGGATCTGGTGAAGGGTAAAGACTGGTCGCTGTAGAAACCCTTGGAGAGGACTTTGTCCAGCAGCAGACGTCTTTTGTTTGAACCCAATTGCTTAATCATACTTGTCATTTTTCAGGAACTTGCAAGCTTAAAATAAAGCAATGACAATTATATTAAGACTAAAAGGGAAAGGAAAAAGGTAAATTTCTATTGGATTTAGAACTCTCAATGGGATTTTGCCGAACTACCTTTCATTATGATCTCTACCGTAAGCTTAATACGAAAATGTCTTCAGTAGTTAACGAATCTTGGAAAGACTGCCAATATTTAGTCGTTTATATTTAGTGTAATAATACAAAATCAAATTATTTCATTATGTTAAAAGTGTCACCTGGACCTCTATTCCAAGAAAGAAATTAATGCAATTAATGTCCACTGAAGTACGGCGACCAGTGCAAACATTATTTGGAGCCCTTTTTTCTGGGAAAGGATTTATTTTGGCATGATATTGACATTTCCTGTTGTGTTCATACTAGTGATGTCCATTGATTTCACAATCTGCTTTAGATTGTGTTATGTACTGGATTACGGACAAGATAATTATCTTCAATCGCCGAGTAGGTACCTTTTATCTGATAAAATAAAGTAGGTTTAACAGACGAACCCTGGGGCGATGATATTATCATTGTAGCGTACTTAGGTAGGTACCTACTCAACTTAGGACGATTAGACCCACTCACAAAAGCTTGTACTAACTTCTTACGATCATTTAAAGAGGTAATTCGTTCGTTTCAACCAAATACCGTTCTAGATAAAGGCCTTCCACGGAATTTTCATAACGACCGGTCCTGTGCTGTCCACACCCAGAGAGGGAAAGTTAATTCGTTGAATGTAAGTTACGTAATCTTGCTTAAACAATGTTAAGTACTTAAGTATCTGTTCAGGAGGGGATTCTTGGATGGCTCAAACTTGGAGTGCAAGTGGGGTTTTGTTCGCCAGTCGATGAAGCACATGATGTCGTGCCCTGCGTGCCCAAACAACTGCACGCAGGAAGATTTAATGAATGCTACTGACAACGCCACTCGTGTGGTTTTGTGCGTTAGGTTTGTTGCCGACATGACAACAAGAAGATGAACGTTTGGTAAGAGTAAATGTTTTACTGAAAGTACTGAAAGGTCCTCAAAAACACAAATCAAATCAAATCATTTATATGCATTACATTCGCTAAAACAGACATGTTTATGCACACAAATGCTCGTTCAGCAATTTTACGGGCATCGAACCCACGATCACGGTCAGTCGACCATCGTTAAATGAAATTAAAACATTAATCTTCTCGTTTTTTGGCTTTTCTGATTCATTTACTCCGCCTACGCATTCCGCTAAATGTACCTACCGGCAGCTGAAATTTATAATTACTAATCTTGTTTTTCCAGGCCCCAAAATGTTGAAGTTAACGGAATACGAGTATAAAGTAGATAAGTTAATTTTACGCAGTGTATTAGACCTACTTTTGTGATAACCATATTAAATGTGTTAATATTAAGATTAAGGTTTGAATTTAAAAGTCAAATCCAGATGAGGTTTTGGCGGTTCTTTAGCCTACTTTAACGAATATTCGTCGATGTACCTACAACATTAATTTGTGCGAGAGGTACGTG